TTACTGCCTTCAGTCAAAGAAGCCGTCCTTTTCTTGTTTTGCTCAATCATTTGTGAAATTTCTCGTTCTTTGAACCGAATTTGAGTAGTTAAGTTTTCAACTTGTTTCTCTAATTCCTTTTCATGTTGGCTTTGTTCTCTGGCCTGTTGCTCTTGCACAGCTCTTTCTTCCCCTTGCCTCCTCTTCTCGTCAGCCTGATAATGCTCAAGGGAATCCCGCAAAATCTTGATCTCTCCATCTTTGCCGAATTTCTCCTCTTCCAGTGATTTCACCTTTGAGCTGGCAGCAGCAAAATCTGCTTTTAATCTTTCAATCTCCTTTCTCAAATTTTCCATTTGCCCGTCTTCAGGGTGACTTGTCACAGTAGTATTGCGGCTGCTGCTGCTGTTAAGAATGTTCATTTTACCAACACTGTTTGCTCTTGTGTGATCGCTGGCTAAGGAAACTGATCCATTACATTGGTCAATAAATGAAAGCAACACCGAGTCACCTTTCGTCAATGGTTTGGCATATTTCACACTAGCATCCTCTTCTGGATGTGTCACAATTGGCGCTCGAAATTCTCTAGTACTGTTGAAAGGAAAACCCACTGTGTCACTCAAACTGGAGTGGGATGTATTAACAACATATTCTTGAGTATTCTTAGTGTCATCATTTTCATCAGAACAATCTGCTGGGGATAGACGCGAAGAATAAAATACATCTTTACTGGCAGAGCTGAAATTTTCGTTTCTCAAGGGTACATTGGAAGTCAACTCGGCAGGATTAATCCTCTGGGCTTCCAGCTTCATGGATGCAGCCCGATCGCATTCATCAAGCTGTTCAGCTGCTGTCAAAAGTTCTTCATCGCAATCATCTTCTAAAGCATCAAACTCTTCATCAAAAACATCAAGAGGAAGATCGCGACATGCTTCCTCCGCAGCTATCTCCTCAGCCCTTTTATCGGACAAACAATGAGAACGTTTGAATTTTTTGTACGGAGACTCGTGGTTGATGTTGGCTCGTGGCTGAACTCCATTGCTTGTTGAACTCCCGGGTAGACCTGTAAACGCACTGCTGTCTCTTGATCGAGTTGCAACAGGATTGTAGATAAAATTACGCCTCTTCTGATTCCCCAGAAGATTATTGTTGCTAAAGTTGGACATCATTAACGAACACTAACGACTTCATACTCAAAGACCACAGACCCAACAGTGTGGAATATGGCAAATCGAAGTTTGCCGCGAAGACTGTTATCACGCTAGAGTTTCTGGGAGCGTCTGGTTAGGTGGAAGACCGCTGACATTGCCGCAGAAGATTTTAGCGTTCAAAACCCTTGTTTTACTTTGGTGATTTGAAGACTCCAGAGCGACAAGGACGACGATTAATATAAACTGCACCCCTCTTTTGTTCTTGAAGCTGACTCGTTAAATTAAGAACATGATTAGGAGGCAATTGTACAAATCTCACTTTTTGTTCCTTTAAACGTTACATAATGAATCTTCACACGGTTTATCTGTTCGGATGAGAAGTGGTTGGTTCCATCAGAGGACCTTGTTCAAACATAAATAGAAAAATAAATAAGTCTGCCATATTTTCAAACATGTATTTTCATGGAAGCAGGAACATGAGCTTTAATTCAAAGCCTATTCCGGCTTTGTGGGCGTCGCTTGAAATTTTTCCACCCCTAAGAGAGACCATTTCTAAATTTTAGAAATGATACCTCTCTTGTCATATTTTTTTTCGGCTGAATACCCTAAAATGTACTGCTGTAAACCTTCTGAACACACTAAAAGGTACCAAAACTGCTGTTTAACCCCAAAGGTACGACAAGCATCCCCGGTACCTCAAAATTTGGATGCAGGGTGTTACAATATGCACTGATTACTAACGATCATTAACTAGACTATAGGTTAGAGTTACATTCTAGTGTCTAACACTGTGAATGAAACGCAGCTTGAAATATGGTGGCAGCGAAATAGGGTCAAATAGGACAACGACTCCTCGCCTACCATTTACAGAGTCGCGCGAATTACAGCTGAGATCATTCTCTTGCACGGCAAGTAAACGGATAATTTGAATAACGATAGCCCATTTACTTGTTCCAGGATATCTTAAGACCACTTGGTTCTACATGGGTTGATAACCACTGAATATAATGAGTAATGACTCTAGAAACGATTGAATGAAATGCAAACCGTAAAGGTAAATGTGAGGGATTCAAGAGATGAAGGCTGTGTAGGTATAGGTAGGGGATTTAATGAGATGTGGGCTGTGTAGGTATATGTGAGGTGAGGGATAAATGAGATGTAAGTTGTGTATGTATATGTCGGGGATTGATGGGACGTAGGCTGTGTAGGTATATGTCGGGGATTAATGAGATGTAGGCTGTGTAGGTTTTTTTTTGGAGGGAGATTAATAAGGTGTACGCTGTATAGGTATACGTGGGGAATTAATAAGATGTAGACTGTCTGGGCTGTGTAGATATATGTGGGGGATTACTCTAGGCTGTGTAGGTATATGTGAGGGATTGATGAGATGTAGGAAGTGCAGGTATATGTGGGGGATTAATGAGATGTAAGCTGTGTAGGTATATGTAGGGGACTAATGACATGTGGGCTGTGTAGGTATATGTTGGGGGAATAATGAAATGCAAGCTGTGAGAGGATATTGGGGGGATGTTTAGAGGGGCGGTTGAGGAAGAATACTTGATGATATATCCAGGAAGTATTGTTTTAAGAGAGATGTGTATATTGCGGTGGAGTTAACTGGCCGCCCAACCATCCGGGTGGTGTCGCACTTATAAAGCGAAAGAACAAAAGGCTTGGCTGTGA